CAGGGATACGGGAGCCATAGAGGTACAAAGGATGATCGGAGATGACAGAGCGTCTAGTTAAAGTAATTTGGTGGGTTTTAGTGCTGGAAAATTTAAACCCACGTGTGGTGACCCAATTGGAAACACGGTTGACTGCATGCTGGAGAGAAACTGTAATAAGGTGACAGTCAGCGCCTGCACAGGCAATAGCGAAGTCATCAACGTAGAGTGATGACCAAATATTTGATGGAAGACTAGAGGCCAAATCATTAATAGCAAGGAGAAAAAGTGTTGTGCTCAGAACACATCCCTGGGGGATACCTTCAGCTTGGATAAAGTCTGGGGAGAGCACATTATTAACCCAAACACGGAAATGCCTGTCAGTTAAAAAGTTCTTAAGGAAGGATGGTAGATTGTCTCGAAGGCCTAAGGAGTGTCATATGCCTTCTCAAGGTCAAAAAATATGGCAATAACTGAGTGGTTATTCGCAAAGGCATTACGAACATACGTATCCAAGCGTAGTAAGGGGTCTATGGTAGAACGTCCCTTACGAAAGCCATATTGACGAGTGGAGAGACTGTTGTGCGTCTCTAAATACCACACTAAACGTCTATTTACTAGGCGTTCCATCACTTTGCAAACTGCACTTGTAAGAGCAATGGGACGATAGTGGGAGGTTTCATGTCCCGTAGTGCCTGGTTTGCGGAAAGGGAGAACAATGGTGGATTTCCACAGCTGTGGAAGAACTCCTTGTGACCAAATAAGATTGTGAAGGCGTAATAGGACTGCAAGGGCTGACTGATGTAAATGTTGTAGCATACGAATATGAATGTCGTCGGGTCCAGCTGCCGATGATTGGCAAGCTGAGTGTGTTGCCTCCAGTTCTTGAAGTGTAAAAGGCACATTATACTGTTCTTCTCTGAGAGAAGAAAAGTCCAAGGGTGCTAACTCTCTGGCAGACTTTGAGGAAAGAAATGAGGGGCATAGATGGAGTCCCTGAGAAATATGGACCAGATGACTGCCAATTTCATTGGCAACATCTAGTGGGTTTGCTATATCAACACTGGCAACCCGCAGAACAGGAGCCGGGTCAGGAGAATATTTACCACTCAGTTTTCGTACTTTTTTCCAGACTGCACTCATAGAGGAAGCAGAGGTGATGGTGGAGACATAATCTCGTCAGCAAGTGCGTTTAGTGTCACGGATGACATGGCGAGCGATCGCACGCTTCTGCTTAAAATCAAGAAGTCTCTCTGTGATTCTATTGTACCGGTACCTGCCCCATGCAGCGCATTTCAAACGTACTGCACGAGCACAAGCAGGAGACCACCAAGGCACGCATTTCTGAGAATGCCTGTTCAAAGTTTGGGGTATAGAATGAGTAGCTGTGGTTAAAACGGAGGACGAGAAGAGGTGTAAAAGCTCATCGATGGAGGACGAAGAAGGAACCTCTCTAAAAACAGTTAGGTGTGAGTAAAGGTTCCAATTTGCCTGATCAAATTGCCAGCGTGTAATGCGAAGTGGTGGTGAATATGAAGGGGAAGTAAGAATGATTGGGAAATGATCGCTGTCATGTAGGTCCGGGAGAACAGACCAAGTGAAGTCTAATGCGGCGGAGGAAGAGCAGACTGAGAGCGATGCAAGAGAGAGAGTGAGTCCGAGGATCAAAATGGGTGTGAGTACCTGTATTTAAAACATGGAGGGGGTGGGTGGCAAGAAAAGCCTCTAACTGAATGCCACGGGAATCACAGTGAGACCCCCCCAGAGGAAATGATGGGCATTAAAATCACCAAGTAACAGAATCGGTGGCGGTAATGACGAAACAAGAAAGGCAATATCCGGAATAGATAATGCCCGAGAAGGAGAGAGATATAAAGAACAGAGCGTATACCACCTATGCAAGTGGATACGGGCTGCTGTGTAATGCAGCGAAGTACGAACAAATAGCTGATGGTACGGAATATCAGTGCGTAGAAGAAGGGCACTTTGGTTAAAGGTCCCATCAGGAAAAGGATCTGAAGAATACAATAAATTATAGCCTGAGATGGGAGAGATAACAGCAGAGTGTAATTTTGGTTCCTGTAAGCAAACACCAACAGGGGAAAACTGGGAGAGTAACATCTGAAGCTCACCCCGATTACCCGAGGCCGCTTATATTCCACTGTAAATAGGCCATGATTGGCAATGATAAAGATACCTGAAATCTGCAGGTAAGGGTTCCTATGGACTAGAGGGGTTAGAAAAGTCCACATGCGGAGGCAGTGGAAAACGTTCAAGCAGTGAAGGAACGGTGCGCTGTGAAGAAAGGAGTTGCGCAGATGGAGCAAAGGAGAGAGAAGGAGCGGAGGGTGGATCAGTGTCCATTGACGGTTTGGTCTCTGCAATATATTCAGAGATTGCTTCAAGTGTTTCAGAATTCAGAGACGTCGTATGGGAGACAATATTGGAAATGGTAGGGGGAGGATGAGTAAAGATTGGACCTGTATTGGACTCTACCAAGGTAGGGGGGGGGGCGAAAGGGTGGAGGGAACTGGGGGAAGCGTGGAAGGGACAGAAGGGGCAAAAACCTGGGAGGTGGCAGAAGAGGAAGAACTTGGGAGGGAACGGGGGAGGAAGGTACAGTACGAGGAGGAGGGTGAACCTCTACACTTGTAACAGACCAGGAGAGGGGGAGAACCAGGTACAAGACAGGGAAGGTAAAATGAGGAGGTGAAAGATGGGTAGGTGTTAACGGACCTTTTTTTGACTTTGAGAAGTAGAGGGACGATTGGGAGGAGGTGTCATAAAGATCTCGTCGCTACTGAGGCTTGTGAGAGAGAACACGAAGAAGCGAGATCAGACTGAGGCGTTGAAGTAGGGACGTCTGAGCTGAGGACGCAAAAGAATTAGATACAGGAGTGACTAGGGGGAGAGGTAACCACAGAGGTGGGTGCAGAAGATGGGATACCAGAAGTGGGGGGACGTTTTGAAACACGGGAATAAGAAACAAAAGGGTTTAGTCTCCCTTGGAGGTGGAGATGAGAAATGCCTGGCATAAGGGGGGACCTGCCTCTTTGAGGTAAGGATTTCCCGCTTGTTTAAATAGACTTGACAACGGCGAGAGTACGAAGGGTGAGCCTCATCACAATTAAGGCAAGAGGGAGGTCGATTGCAAGACGTATTAGAATGGTCATCGGCACCACAGACTGGGCATTCGGCGATAGATATGCAAAATTTTGCTGGATGGCCAAATCGCCAGCAATTTCTACACTGTTGCGGTGTAGGGATCACCTTTCGAACTTGTAACCGATGTCCTGCTACATAAATTTAGGATGGGAGTTCACGGCTGTCAAAAGTTAAACGAGCCACATGCTAGGGTATCGTCTCCGCCCGCGGGCAGGAAGAATGTAAGGTCTACCTTGAGGATTGGGGAGATCTTGGAGTTCCAGCTGTTCAAGAAGGGTCAGTGCCACATGTCTGGAAATTTTGTTGAACTAGGGTAGGGGGCAGAGTGACGGTACCACTACAAGAATTGAGGGAATGATGTTTTTCAATATGACAGGAACAGAAATCAATATGGGAAAGACGAGAAAGCTCATGAGCCTGGGTACATTCTGTACGGTGATGATGCGCAAACCGCTTTAAGAGCATGAAAAAGAAATATCTTTACAAAAAATGGCTTAGGAGTGCCTTGCGAAAAACTGTGGTCAGAAAGAAGGCGTAGAGGAAGTCGGTCGTAAAGTAAAGAATTTAGTCCATTGTGCAGTCTGTAACGAGCGGGGAAAGGTAGTGAAGGACGTGTCGATCTTTTCTGAGAAGAACGAGAAGGTGGAAAAGTATCATCAGCGGGTAATTGTCGTTGTCGTTTAGGTGTGGGACCAGAGTTGGTCCGACGTGGAACGGGTCGGCGATTCGAAAATTGCCGCACCGTAGAGGGAGAGGCCGAAGCATAGTCAGAGGAGAGCGAAGGTCAGATAAATCGAAGGATCAGTCGAGGCCTCAGTACCTGAAGCGGGTGAGGAAAACAGCCCCGGGCAAGAGGTACAGAGGCATGAGGAGTGTCCGAAAGTGGTCCAAAGACGAGGCGGGGTCAGAAGGGGGTGGGGTATCAAGAAGGGGCCCGGGGGTAGCAGGTTTCATGGACTAGGGCTGCCATGGTTAGGTTACTTCTTTCTTTTTTTTTTTAAGAAAAAAAGGAAAGAAAAAAAAAAAAGAAAAAAAAGAATAAAAAAAGGGGGGACCAGGGAGGGATAGTTCTAGGAGGAATGAAAGGGCCAGAAATCTCCCTCGCGCCCAAGAGGACCTCAGCACCGAAGTAGTGCAGATTGCAGCATGGAACCTGGCCATACCCTACCCATCATGCCAGTAAACCGGCAATCCGGGATAGCAACCTCACATCTGCCGAGCTACCTCGGTGGACAAAAGAGAGGGCGGCCGGAAATCCGCCACAAAGCATACCTCCTTCGGCCACCACCCCCGGAATCCGAAAGGTGGCTTCCAGAGATGCACCCGTCGCCCGAGACACACCCAAAGCCACCCTCCGGGATACCGGAGAGAGATCGGGACATCCCCAGGCAATCCAGATTCCACAGCAAACTACGCCACCGCCAAGAACCTCAACGGAATGGGATGGACCCCGGTACCCTTTCCCCTACTGAGGAACTAGTGTGCCTGTGGGGAGAAAAAAAAAAAAAACAAAGGCCCAAAAGGGAGGGGTGGAGATGAGGAAAGGAAAAATGGGAGGATGGGATAGGGAACAGGGGATTGGGGGGTAATTAGGTTCGGTCTGAGGAAGGAGACCGACAGGTCTAATTCCTCAGACCAAGAGCCTCTTCACCACGCTGGACCTGACTAGCTTGTGCTGCTGGGTCTGGTGCCGTGCTCCTACCTTGAGTGGAGGTGACCTGACTGGGTGGGTCATTGGGTTAATCCAGGGGGGGGGGGGATATATGGACCTGCTCCGCATGGGTCAGTAGGCCTGTTTCAGTGTTCCTTCTTTCTTACGTTCTTATAATATTTAATGTGAAATTTTTTCTCAACAGAGTGGTCACTGGCCAGTGGTGCGACGGCAAAGTGGGATGATTGCTTTGTCCATGGTGGAAGCTCAAGGTCGGGAGGAAGAGCAAGAGACAGTCTCAGCTATGGCTTCACTCAGGGTTGATCCTCAGAATCCCCAGTCTCAGTATGTAAATTATCATTATTATTATTTTTATTTATGGGCAGGTGTTGAACCTCATACACATAGGTCATTCAGCATTCAGATTACAAGAGCAGTTAGATTTGCTCAAAAGAAAGTAGAGGGTAGCTTCAGTTCCCTGGATCAAGAGCCCTTCACTGATGTCAAGGCACTTTTAATCTTGGTCAGTTTATAAAGCTCTAAAATTGTAGGAGGGTTACTTTTCTTGGGATGGTAGCTGAAATTGATTTAATAACATATCCTAGGACCCTTTCAATACCAGCAATTTATTTGTTCACAAGTGGTTGCCTCTTACTTTTGGTGGCATTGTAGAAATTGTTGCTGGGTTCTTGAGGGAACAAGTTTGAGTAATTTGATTTCCCAGAAATCTGATCATTATTAAAAATCAAAGAAAGCGCTAAACCGACAAGGTCATACAGTGTTGCCCAGAAATCTGATTACCTAGTTATATTATTAAATTGGGAAACTCCTTTGATCACCCTAATATATTATGATTGGGTTTAATGCTTAGCTTTATATTGTAATAATGTAACCCTTTAACTGTGTCCAAATACTAGTTATAAGTAATGACCATGGTGTCTGATGTAAAAAGTACACCACCTACCAATATCTTTTTTCGTCATCACATCTGTCTGGATCTTGGAGTTCCCCTGCCTCATGAAAAAAAACAAAACCAGGATCTGTTGTTCCACCACTCACTTCCTTACCAGCAAACATTTGGCCAAAAAGCCCCACTATAGTAGGGCCCTGCTCTATGGTGCTCTGCTAATACAGTGATTTCAAATTATGACCAAAACTTGCTATATGACGAGCAGTCTTTCTAATATGGCATGCGCCCCACCTGGTTTGTTTACATTCTCTGTGAGCACATCTCTCTTATTATGTCTGAAATTTTCCAAAACTTCAAGCGTTATTGCATTTTTATATATACTCCGATAATTATACTTTTGTGTACCTGTACCTAAATATGCTTACACACTGTGCTGGCATGCAGATACACATTAAAATCACTAAGTCTCTCTCTACTCTTGATGCCATATAAAATCTTGGGCACATTAAATGTCATATATTTTCGTTAATATAGACATTTCCCTTAATTCTCTATGAGATTTGTTTACGAAGCTGTTTGTAGGAGTGTCGGAAGATATTTTTTCTCTAGTCAAACACTAGTTACTTAACTGTAGAAAAATATTCCTTTTTTCATATGCCTTACTCTAGCAATTCACGATTTTTGTTGGTTTAGTGCTTCTTTTTATTAAAAATAATAATAACTTGTCAGAGCATCATTCCTCCTAAAAATGATACACGAGAATGGAAGTGTTGGTCTTTATTCTACTGTTTCCACTGTGGAGACACTTTTTACACAATGTAAGCTGTTTGTATGAACATGTATAACCATTAACCAGACTGTTGTTTACACAGTTAGTCTACGGCTCTGTCATCTTCCTCGTTCTCTCTTGTTTATTTGTTTTTCTCTTCTTACTCACCTCTCACCCTACATTAAGACTACAAATATTTTTAAGGGAGTAATGATGTACTGTATATGCATTTTATCACTTTAGGGAGCTTTAACCCCTAAATGGTCCAAACGTATAGTATATACATTCTTACGCGTATTTTTTATAATTAAAAAGAAGCACTAAGCCACAAGGGCTATACAGTGCTGCAGGGTAGGGAAGGAAGCAAGGGTATCGGGGGCAGAAGGGGGGGAGGGACGATTAGTAGGTTACAGAAAACAGCGGGGCAGGGGATAGTGCAGGGGTAGAGGGTAGCAAGAGATTGAGGTAGAAAGGGCTGAAGGTATCATCAGAGTTTGTGGAGTAAGTTTAGTTGTTTTAAAAAGTCAAGAAAAAAGTCCGGATGAAAGGTGGGTCCATCAGCGAGAAGGGAAGGTAGAGAGACAGCAGCGGGGCGAAGACGACGTTGGAGGTAAATTCTGCGTTTCTCGTTGATAAAGTGGGCAGTCTAACAGAATGTGGGTGACCGATAATGGAACCTGGCAATTCTCACAGAGAGGAGGAGGGCGCCTCTCCACGAGATATCCATGAGTAAGACGAGTATGGCCAATGCGAAGGCGGGAGAGAGTAGTCTCCCAACCTCGACACTGGTGACAAGATGGCCCGTAACCTACACTCGTATAAAAGAACAAAGTTTTTTTATTGAGCAGAGCAGACCAACGTTGTTGCCACGGGTGTGAGGTGGGTAGCTATTACAGCAAAATAGTCCGGAAATGGAACACCTCTATATGAAATTGGTAGGTCATGTACTGCTGACCGCACAGCAGTGTCTGCCTGTTCATTGCCCTGTACGTCAACATGACTAGGGACCCAACAAATAACAACATCTTTATGCTTGGTAGAGATACGAAGAACTAGGGGGTGAGGTGTATCAAATTTCCGTATAGCCTGTAGAGCACTAAGGCAGTCAGAGACAACCACAAATGATGACACAGGCATAGATGTGATACGAATAAGTGCTGCAAGAATGGCATACAATTCAGCAGTAAAATTGCTAGCCGAAGATAGTAAATGCCCTTGCACGACGCTGTCCGGAAACACTGCTGCGAATCCGACGCCGTTAGAAGATTTAGAGCCATCTGTGTACACGGCGATGGCATGAGAATGAGAGTGGAAGTGGTCAAGAAAGAGAGAGCGGGAAGCCACCGTAGGCAGTTGGGCTTTCGAGCAGGGAGTGAGAAAAAACAGCCCCCAACCCGCTGGAACTTTCCCCGGGGGGTAGGGAAAGTGAGATGCTACATAAACAATAAAGGCGGTAACTGAAGGGAAACGAGGTAGAGGCAAAGAGAGAAGGACAAAGCAAAAAAGGGGCGGTGAACAAATAAAGAAGTCTACTAATATCAGTGACCATCTATAAGGAAGGATTTGGGGGATCGTGAGAGTCAAAGCGAAGGCAATGGGTACAGGTCGAAACAAGGATGGAACATTCGCTTCTGCATAGAGCCTCTCAAAAGGAAGAGCGGAAGCCCCAAGGCATAAACGTAACCTTGGTGATGGTGGGTAGTGAGACTCTTAAGTAGCGGAGAGGCCTGAATGATCTGGTCGCCAAATCGAGGTTCGATAAAATGATGGTGAATGTAGGTGAAGGGGAGTTCGACGATAGCTCCCCAGAAAGTGAGCAAGGGTTTTAGAAGGTCACCGGCTGTGACAAGTTGCCTTTAGAGAGGTAAGTGGGTTTCCAGATAACCTACGGTCAAAGAGAAGGCCTAGAAACCTGACTGTATCACGTTCAGGATACGGAGCCATAGAGGGTACAAAGGATGATCGGAGATGACAGAGCGTCTAGTTAAAGTAATTTAGTGAGTTTTGGTACTGAAAAATTTAAACCCATGCATGGTGGCCCAATTGGAAACACGGTCGACCACATGCTGAAGAGAAACTGTAATGAGGTGAGAGTCAGTGCCTGCACAAGCAATAGCGAAGTCATCTACATAGTGATGACCACATATTGGATGGAACAGAGGCCAAATCATTTGTAGCAAGGAGAAAAAGTGTTGTGCTCAGAACACATCCCTTAGGGGCACCTTTAGCTTGGACAAAGTCCGGGTAGAGCACATTATTGACTCGAACACGGAAATGTCTGTCAGTTAAAAAGTTCTTAAGGAAAGATGGTAGATTGCCTCGGAGGCCTAAGGAGTGGGCTTGGGCCAAAATATTATACCTCCAAGTTGTGTCATATGCCTTCTCAAGGTCAAAAAATATGGCAATAACTGAGTGGTTATTGGCAAAGGCATTACAAACATACGTATCCAAACGTAGTAAGGGGTCTATGGTAGAACGGCCCTTACGAAAGCCATATTGACGAGTGGAGAGACTGTTGTGTGTCTCTAAATACTACATTAAATGTCTATTTACCAGACGTTCCATCATTTTGCAAACTGCACTGGTAAGAGCGATGGGACGATTGTGGGAGGCTTCATGTCCCGTAGTACCTGGTTTGCGGAAAGGGAGAACAATGGCAGATTTCCACAGCTCTGGAAGAACTCCTTGTGACCAAATAAGATTGAAAAGGCATAAGAGGACTGCAAGGGCTGACTGATGTAAATGTTGTAACATACGAATATGAATGTCGTCAGGCCCAGCTGTCGGTGATTGGCAAGCTGAGAGTGTTGCCTCCAGTTCCTGAAGTGTAAAAGGCACATTATACTGTTCTTCTCTGAGAGAAGAAAAGCCCAAGGGTGCTAACTCTCTGGCAGACTTTGAGGAAAGAAACGAGGGGCAGAGATGGAGCCCCAGAGAAATACGGACCAGATGATTGCCAATTTCATTGGCAACATCTAGAGGGTTTGCTACATCAACACCGGCAACCCGCAGACAGGAGCCGGTCAGGAGAATTTTTTACCACTCAGTTTCCGTACTTTTTTCCAGACTGCACTCATAGAGGAAGCAGAGGTGATGGTGGAGACAATCTCGCCAGCAAGTGCGTTTAGCGTCATGGATGACACGGCGAGCGATCGCATGCTTCTGCTTAAAATCAAGAAACCTCTCAGTGGTTCTATTATACCGGTACCTGCCCATGCAGCACATTTCAAACGTACTGCACGAGGACAAGCAGGAGACCACCAAGGCACGCATTTCTGAGAATGCCTGCCTGAGGTTTGGGGTATAGAATGAGAAGGTGCAGTTAAAACGGAGGACGAGAAGAGGTGTAAAAGCTCATCAATGGAAGATGAAGAAGGAACCTCACTAAAAACAGTTAGTTGTGAGTAAAGGTCCCAATTTGCCTCATCAAATTGCCAGCGTGGGTTACAAAGAGGTGGTGAATATAAAGGGAGGAAAGTGATGGAAAATTAGCGCTGTCATGTAAACCCGGGGAAAAAACAGCCCAGGTGAAGTTAGTGCAGCAGAGGAAGAGCAGACCGGAGTATGCCGAGGAAAATATGAGACGAGGATCAAAATGGGGGCGAGTCCGTATTTAAAACATGGGGGGGGTGGAAAGCAAGAAAGCCCCCTAGCTAATGCCAGGGAATCACGGATCCCCCGAGGGAAAAAATGGGATTAAAAAACGCCAAGAACGAAGTGGTGGCGGTTTAAGACAAAAAAGAAAGACAATATCTGGTATAAAAGTCGGAAGGAGAGGGAAAAAAGAAAAAGTGTATACTCCCCATGCGGGGTACGGGCGTGGTAATCGTAAATACGAACAAATAGCTGATGGACG